AAAAAAAAAAAAAAAGGTGGTCAAAACGGGGGCAAGGGAGTAGTATTCTGAGGGAGATTCATGTTAATATATCTTTTACTGTAATAAATTTTTAAACTTAACCATTCCCTATTTTTACTGTACTCTATAGCACTGTGCCTAGCATGAGAATGACCCCAAAAACAGAGCATGAGGGGTATAGTTTGGTGGTGGGATATTCACTCAGCATCCGCAGACCAGGGTTCCATCTCCAGCACCAAAAAATTAATGTAAAAAATAGAAATTACCTTTTTTTCATAAAAAGTATTGCTCTTCTTCCTAGTCTGAGCTCACCATCATGTATCTTAGTTACTTTTTTGTTGCTGGAACAAAATATCCCGCACTCAAAAGTTAGGGGAGAAAAGGTTTATTTTGGCTCAGTTTGTAGAGGTTTCAGTTCTTAGTCAGCTGGCTCCAAGGCAGGACATCATGGCAGAAAGGCATGGCAGATGAGGAACAGTCCATGGCAGGAAGCAACAAGCCTCCCTTTCCCTTTTATTCCACCCAAGCTATAAGCCCATTGGTTGGTGCCACTGCTACTCACAGTGGGCCTTCCCATTATTCATGTCTAGAACTATGCTAAAACAATCAGTGGATTGATTAATCCAGCTATCACCCCCATAGCCCAACATTAGTCACCCTTGATCTGGCCACCTCCCCAGATCTCTACCTATGTCTACATGAGGCTTTGGCGGACATCGATAGATAAGCCATAGCACCAGGTCTGACCAACTAGGAAGCTCTTCCTCACTGACCTCTGAGAATTAGACCTGAGACTGTACTGAGCAGAGGCTGCCCATCATTGCTTATCTGCCTGCTTGCTTGCTTTTTTTTTTTTTTTTCTTTCAGTACCGGGGATTGAACTCAGGACCCTGCACTTGCCAGGCAAGCGCTTAATCTACTGAGCCATCTCCCCAGCCCTGCCTTATTTTTCTGAGCACCCAGCTCAAACTTTTGGATCACTTGGACCTAGCTGCTGATCATAGGCCCCAGAAGAAGAAGCAAGCTAGGAGCATATGTGCTTCTCCATCCAAATGCTCTTATTATTTTTTTTTTTTTTGAAAAGACAAATATTTCTTTGGACCACAAAGGAAAAAGAACCTCAGCATGCCTAGTAACAAGGCATACTGAACCAATTATTGTTAATTTGAGTTGAGCAAAATATCATTGCTAACAGTAACAAAAGAAAAGACCCAATTAAAACATGGGCAAAGGATTTGAATATACATCCTTCAAAGAGTCTATGCAAATGAACAATAAGCTCGAGAAAAGATGCTCAATATCACTAATCATTAGGAAATGCAAATCCAAACCTCAGTGCAACTGCTCTCCGCTCATTAGAATGGCTTTTAGAAAAAGGGAGTTAGTGAGGATGGGGAGAAACCAGAGCCCTTGCATGGCTCTAGTGAGAATGTAAAACCCTGCAGCTGTCGTGGCAAATAGTCTGGCAGGTCTTCAAAGTGCTAAACATAGATTCGCCATATAATCCAGCAATTCTTCTGGGTGTATACCCAAAGAAATCGAAATTGGGAACTTGAACAATTATTTATGCATCAGTATTTGCATCCACAATAGATAAAAGATGGAAATGGCCCCAGTGTCTCTCAATAGCTGTAGCTACAAAGGGCTGGTCAGATAGCTCAGCAGATTAGAGCGCCTGCTTAAGCAGACACAGGGACAGGGGTTTGATCCCCAGTGTGCCGTGACGGCCCTGCCCTTGGGGCATGCTGAGATTGCAATTGAGACTGGGTGTGGTGGCATGTGCTTGTCACCTGAGAGCTTGGGAGGCTGAAAACAGGAGAATCACTACGAGTCCAATCTTTGTAGCGAGACCCTGTAGACCCTGTACTAAATACATTTTTAAAAAGCTGTAGCTAAACACAACGTGGTTCCCACGTATAATAGAACATTAACCAGCCTTCAAAAGGGAAGAAATTCTGACACACACAACAAATCGGTGAAACTGGAGGACATTATGCTAAATGAAATAAGCCCAGTCACAAAAGAACAATTAGCCAGGCGTGGCGTGGGGGTGGGATCTGCAGCTCCCTCGCCTGAGAGGCTGAGGTAGGAGGGTGGTGAGTTTGAGGACAGCATGGACCACACTGCAAGTTCAAGGCCAGCTGGAACTGTATAGGTCCTGTCTCAACACCACCAAAACAAGACAACTGTGTAAGTATGATTCTACTTATACAAAGTGCTTAGAGCAGTCTGAATCATAGAGCTGGAGGAGAGTGGTGCCTGCCGGGAAGGGGGGGTGGGGAGCATGGTGAGTTAGCGCTGCACTGCAGGCTCGCTTTGGGAAGAATAACGCTGCTGTGGTGGCAGGAGAAGATGAATGTATTTAATGCCCCTGAACTGTGTGTTATATAAATTCTACTGCTGCCTGGGTGTGGTGGTGCATGCCCGTAATCCTAGCACTTGGGAGGCTGAGGCAGGAATATCACTATGTGTTCTAGGCCAGCCTGGGCTAGTAGTGAGATCCTGTCTTTAAAAAAAAAATTCTACTGCTATGAAAATGGATGATGCAGGAAATAAACATCCCTGTCAGTCACCTTCCAGGTGCTGTTGCTCTTTGCAAGTGGACATCCACATATAGAAGGGCTTTGGGCTTCCACTTGCACTTTGGGGTGCTGAATCCCAGGCCTCCCCTCCACTATGGACTTCCTCTCCCATGGAGAAGTTTTATAACCTCTTCCTCACAGTTGGAACCGAACTATTTCCTTGGGAAAACATAGGGCAGCAGCGCATGAAGCATGCTCTGGGTTTGGGGAGATGATCCGATGGGGCCCAGGGGCGTGAGGACACGGACCATCAGATGCTGGATACGAAAAGGAGGAAAGAGAGCAACTGCATGCCCCCAAGCCCTCACCCCTTCAGCCTTCCCTCTGCATCTCACAGCAGCCTCTGGCTCTGGCAGGACACAGTCTGGCTTGAAGAAGACTGGGACATCCCGCTGTTCATTCTTAAGCCTGCCAACAGCCCTGTTCTCAGTCCCCTATTTCTACCAAGCCTATCAGGAATCTGATGGCAACCTGGCCCTGAGCCCCGAGCACGCTTATCTCTGTCCAGTGCCACCTCTTAAGTGTGCTGGCTACTGATCAGGCTGGGGAGAGAAGGTCAGAGATACCCACCCTGTGTGGTTGCCCTACCACCAATTCACTCTCGTGTTCCTACTCCTGGTGTATCCTCCTCCTCTCTCTTTCCCCTCTCCCTCTCTCTTTGAGACAGGGCCTGCTATGTATTGCAGGCTGGCCTCATACTCACACGCTCCTCCTGCCTCAGCCTTCCCAATGCTGGGAATGCAGCGTGTGCCGCCCAGCCTGGCACATGCCCTCTCTTCTCTTTCCTTCCCTCCCACTCGTTTTTTTGCTCCATCTGCTTTGCTTCCATTTCAAGATTCAGCATGGGATTGAGAGCAAGGACCGCATACTACCTGCCTGGGAGCTGCTTGGTGTCTCGTATCCCCTGGGAGATGCCACCTTACTTCTTTCCTCTCCAGGATTTCTCTCCAGACAGGAGTAGGGGTGTGAGGGTGAGAGAGGAGGGAGAGAAGGGGCAACAGACCCCCACAGGGAAGACCTCTTCCACTGTGCAAACTAACTGCAGGACAACCTCTGGGAACAAGAGTGATTAGAACTTGGGTCTTCTTGGATTTATCTGAAATCTCCCATCAGCACCTTTTTCCTTTTATTAGCTGCACTTGAGCTAGAACTTCCCTTGGCAGTCAGAGCCCCTGCTGTTAGCAAGGAAGAAAAACCACGTGCAGTTGGAGAACCACTGCTGCTAACACCTGGTGAAAAGAGCTCACCACCCCCCAGGGAGGGGCCCAGAAGTTGTCTAAGGAACTTCCGCAGCAACTCTGCTGTGAACAAAGACCCAGGCAAAGAGGACCGGGCTGGGCTCCTGCTCCTGCTTCAAGGACACTTCTGGACCATTTGCCCGCTGTCTCATTAGCACCTGGGAGCGGGTCCTGCACCAAGCGCTCAGCCACGGGCCCCCTCGGTGGAGCAGCAGCTGTGGCTTCCTCCCAGCGGCTCCGGCTGTAATCGGCTCAAGGTGCCAGTGGGGTCTCAGCCACAGTCAACGGAGACTGGGCACCGGCTGCCCCAAGAGCTGCCCTGCTGCTGGGGACTCAGGAGGGGAGATGTGGGGGAGGGAGGCTAGGGTCTAAAGGATGAGGATCAGTGACAAACAGGCACAGGACTTTGGGCAAAAGCCAGGAGCCAGCCTAGCTGCAGAGGTCAGGTCACCGCAGTAGAATTTTTTTCTTTTTTTTGCAGAACCGGGGATTGAACTCAGGGCCCTGCGCTTGCCACGCAAGCGCTTATTCTACTGAGCCATCTCCCCGGCCCCTTGCAATCTAATGAATGCACAGTAATTCCATTAGTGTTGCCGAATCCTCCCCATGACTTTAGCAAAACAGATCTCCTACTAGCAGCTCCCTAAAACACAGGCCAAATCCAAGCCTTAATGCCACAACACCCCTCTTTCCCTCATACGCCACCCACCCCCACCCCAGAGCCCAAGCCACCGCACAGGAACATACAGAGTGCTGTGGGTGGAGATCCTCTTTTATTCAATTTGATTCTGGAGAGGAAGGATGGTGTCCACACCCCAGGCGCTGGAATGATCCCCCACATGTGTAGAACATGTGCATGCCACGTGGATCAGCCACTGACATGAATGCGTTCCATGAAGAAAATGTCCCCGCGGGTGCAGGAGTCCCTCCCCCATTTGCACAAGTTTTCAGGCCCCCACCCACCCCCACCCCAGGTCACCTACTATAGGGTCAGAGCTCCCTTCCAGCACATGTGTACATCCCCTGGAGAGACAGGAGACCCCCACAGTGCCAGCAGGCTTCCCTGATCCTCAGCCACCAGCTTGGGAGAAAGGCTGCCTCCTAGCACAGTGATGAGAGATTGGAAGAGCAGCTGGGCCACACCACGTTTCCAGACCTCTCCAGGACCCCCACAAACCCACTTCTCCCCCTGGGAAAAAGACATTTGGGAGCTAACAAATAACAGGGCTCAGCAGGATGTTCCAACCAACATTTTCTTCCTGCTCAGCTTCTTGTTTGGCAGAGCCTCTTGCTGTTCCTCAAGCAGGTTTCTGGTGTCTGTAGCCCCCCACACTGGCTCCCAGCTGTCATGGATCCTGTGGAATGGACAGTCACCACAACCTTCACCCCCAGCCTCCCTGCCTTCTCCCATGGCAGCCCTGGTTCATTCTCAGCGTCTGTCCCTGTGACGTGCTGTGGTGACCTGACCTGGAGATGTCCGGGTGACATGGGCTAGGTCAAGTGCCTTTGCTTTCTGTCCTCTCCTCATCACCTGTCGGAGCATTGCTGATGGCGCGAAGCTGCCCCTGGGCCGCGGGCTTCACAGATAGGACGAGGCGTTTGCGGAAGGTCTCACACAGCACGATGTACACAAAGGGGTTGAGGCAGCTGTTGGCATAGCCCAAGCTGATGGCAGCATTGTACAGGTAGACGAAGGTGAGGGTTGGGCGGCTGATGGACAGCTGGGTCAGCTGCAGCACGTAATAGGGCGCCCAGCACACGAAGAAGACCAAGCAGATGGCGATGGCCGTGCGGGTCACCCGCTTTGTCCGCAGCCGGATGCTGCGTTGGGAGGCGGGGGCCACTGAGGTGGTCATGCGCTGCAGGATCCTCACGTAGGCAGCAGTGATGACCACGAAAGGCAGGGCAAAGGCCAGAAAAAACTGGTACAGCGTGAACCAGTAGAGGTCAGTGTCTGGGTTGGGCAGGCGGATGCCGCAGCCCACGGTGCCCCCCGGGAAGGGGATGAGCCTGGCATAGAGCCACACAGGGGTGATGCTGACAAAGGAGAGGGCCCACAGGAGGCAGATGACTAGGGTGGCCACAGAGGGCTTCCTGAACTTGGTAGAAGAGATGGGGTGCACAGTGGCCAGGTAGCGGTCAATGGCCATTGCAGTGAGGATGTAGGTGCTGGTGAACTGACTGTTGGCATCCATGGCCGTGATGAGGGTGCACATGGTCTCCCCGAAGTGCCAGACCCCATTGCCCATGAGCTGGTGGATCATGAAGGGCATGCCCAGGAGGAAGAGCAGGTCCACTACGGAGAGGTTGATGATGAAGATGTCAGGGACGTTGTTGCACCAGTGCAGCTTAGACTTCTTCACAACTGCGAAGATGACCGTGGAGTTCCCCACAATGCCCAGGAGGCAGATGGTGCCAAACACGGAAGGCATGATGATATTGATGTAGGAGACGCTTCCTGTGTGTGGAGGAGACCCTGAGGGCAGAGGGGGTGAGGTCACTTCTATGATGTGGGTTCTGCTCTCGGAGCTGGCATCCTGCTGTCCTGTTCAGCCTGCGTGGCACTCTCGATTCCCTTTCACCTGCCCTGCAACTTCCCTATTTATCAAAATTCTCTCCCTCCCCACGCTGTTGCTAATCCTGTCCCCTGTCCTCCTCCACTGTTCTCCTGGGAATCCTACCAGCTTCTCCAGAGTCACCTGTTAGTTAAAGGCCCTGATCCTTTGTCTCCTGCATTTACTTGTGCCTATAATCCCCATATCCCATGAGGCTGAGGCAGGAGGATTACAAGTTCAAAGCCATCCTGGGCAACATAGTGACTTGGAAAGACCCTATCTCAAAATAAAAATAAAAGAGATTGGGGATGCAGTTCGGTGTGAAGGCCTAGGTTCAATCCCTAGTACAAAAAACCCCACAGGGCTGTCTAATGAGAATCACTCAGTGGGTCCCTGGGCTTCACCCAGAAATTGCATCATAAAAATCAGAAGGCTATGGGGGAGAGGCTATGAGAGAGAGAGAGAGAGAGAGAGAGAGAGAGAGAGAATATGTATGTATGTTATGGTATATATGCTTCCTTTCCCTATTTGTAGCCCCGATCATTTTATTTCAGTGCCTGTTGGCTCAAAGCTATGTGCTGATTCCTAGGCATCTCTGTGGGTAACCGTCTTGCAGCGGCATTTGCCAACTGTGCTCTGGTCAGGTGCCAGCCCTCTCAGCTCCAGCTTCCGGCCAGGGATTTCCTTGCCCAGTCCCCTCAAACCCTCCAAGTGGAGGAGCAGAGACTGCAGCCGCGTGTGGCAGCCCGGCAGCCTGGCCATGGTCTCTCTTCAAGCCATTCCTTTTCCTTCCCTCCCTTCTTCAAAGCTAGAATCGCAGTGCATTGCAGATCTGGAAATGTCAGAAAGCTTAATTCACCAGGAAAGTTCATCCCCTCGTGCTCTGCAAAAGTCTTCTGTTTCCCACAGCCTCTGCCAGGGGCGGTAACGATACCTCCAGCCCTGTACCCCTTGTGCGAGAAGAGCCGGGTACCCATGAATGAAAGAACCACCTACTCCCCTCCCGAGTCTCCAGTTTGCTTTTCCAGTCTGGAATTTTTTTTTTTTTTTTTTCCTGCAAAGCTATTTGGAACTCATGAGCAAGCCTTCTCCTGCCTGCCTGCTGCTGGCCACGATTCACTGCCACTGCTGATCGTGCCTCTGCCCCCCCGCTGGGCTCCTGCCCCTTTCTGCCCTGGCCACTCCTGTCCCCTTCTGTCCTCCCTTCAGGCAAAGCAGACTGCGGATCTGGTCCCCGGGAACTACAGTAAAGTTTCCCAAGCAGTTTGGCTCAGGGTGAAACCTCCTCACGTCCCACCCCCACCCCCAGCCCAGTGGCCCGTCCTGCTCACCGGGGGAGGTGAGGTTGTCCCAGCCATCGGAGGTGTTGCTGGCATTGGGGCCGGTGGGCAGCAGCACGGCTTGCAGGTCCATGCAGCCCGAGAGTCGCCTGCGCCCCCAGAGTTGAGCTCCGGTCCACCCACGCAGGCTGCGGCAGCCACCAGCGCCCTTGGCTGCCTGGACCTGGAGCGCGAGCCCCGCAGGCCGGAGGGGTGTCTTCCTCGGCAGCCCGGCAGCCTCTGCCGCCTCCCTGCCCGGTGCTCTCGCACTCCCTCGCGGCTCCCACTGACATCACCTAGACACATTAACATTCGGAGGCAGATGCATATTAACCTCTTCAGTCCCGGCTCCCACCGCTGCCGCCTGCAGAGGCAGCGAGGGGCTGGGCTCCAGCAGCCCCAGCCAGGAGGAAACTTGCCTCTCCTGGGCTCCCGAGGCTGACTCCTGCCTCGTGGGGGCTGCTGCTTGCTTGCTTGGGGTCTCTGCAAAGGCAAAAGGGTAAAGGCAAGGCGCTGCTTCACTTTGGATCGCCAAACACCAGGTATGGGAGGTTGAGCCACGTGGCAGGGGACAGAAGGGACAGTTCCAAGAGCCCAGGACTCAGAGGCTTACAACCGCAGCACACACCCACAGCACAGCCTGGAGGCCACCCTCCGTCCCTTACCCCTAGCCCTGATGGATTCCAAATATCTCACCTGCTACCCGGCCAGCATCCTGACTGGCTGTGGGCTGAGCCCTGCTCTGGCTCGGAGAGACCATTCAAGTCATTCCATGCTGCCAGTGGCGAGGGTTCTGAGAGCCAAAAAAGATAAACTATCGTCTCCACAGGATCAACCTGGACCAAGCGTAGAGAGGTTGCTTTTTTTTTCCAAATGCTCTGAGTTCTTTGAGATAAATATCAGAGCACAAGAGCAAAGCCCCTGAGAGATTACCAGTGAGGACCGCTCCATGGCACAAGCACCATGGATTCTCTACAGAGGCATCTGGCTGCAGGTTCTGGGAATGCTCACTGTCAAGGGCTGTCATCACCCGATGGCCAGACTCAAGGTCTGACTCCTTCCTTGCTACAGTTGCACGATAACCCTCACCAGCAGCACAAAAGCACCAAGAGACAGCCCCGTAGGCCCTCTTGCCCCCAGTTCTTCCTACTAAGTGGAGTCAGTTGTCCCTGCCAGGGTAGTTCTCCCATTCTTGGCCTCCTGTCCTGGTCCACCCACATGAGGAGCCTGAATAAAATGAGATGATAGGTACAGTGGTGCATGCCTGCAATCCCAGCTACTAGTGAGGCATAGTAAGGAGGATTGCAAGTTCTAGGCCAGCTAGGGCAACTTAGTGAGACCCTGTCATATATATGCATAGATAGGCGCTAGGGGATGCAGCTCAGTGACAGACTGCTCTTTAATTCAATTTCTAGTACTAGAGGGGAAAAAAATCAAGTGAGTCCAGCTTCCGGTTCAGTGGAACCCTTAGTGCGTCCTGATGAGCCCTCGCCTTTCCATCCCTTACTGCGCTAGGGATGGGGGTACCCTCCGTGCTTCCGTAGAGAACCAACTTAGCCAGTAGGTTCTCAGCCTCTACTTAAAAAAAACAAAACCATTCTAGCATTCCATGCCAGGGTCTTTTGAACTCTTTGCCAAAACTCTGCCATCAATGGGGATGGGGAAATGGACAGTTATGGTTTAATAGAAGTAGAGTTTCTGCTGGTTTTTCTGAGACAGGCACTTGCACGTGATAGTCCATAGTTGTAGTTCAGGCTGGCCCTCACTATGTAGCCCAGGCTGGCCTCAAACTCACAGCAGTACTTCTGCCTATACATAGTGCTAGGATTACAGGTTTGTACCACCACACTTGGCTCTATAGTTTCTGTTTAGTAATAGAAGCGTTCTACAAGTGCACAGTGGCAATAGTTGCATGACATTGTGAATGTGATTATTACTACTCAATTAGACACTTAGAAAATGGTTAAGGTGCTGGGGAAAGAGTCCAGTGGTGGATCGGCTGCCTGATATGTGTGAGGCCCTGGGTTCCAGCCCCAGAGCTGCAAATAAATAGCCCAATTGTATGCTATGTATATATATATATATATATATATATATATTTACAATATAAAAAATAAATGGCAAATCTCATGTATAATCCTTCAAAACTCAGTGGAGCTAGGTGTGATAGCGCACACCTGTAATCCCAGGACTCGGGAGGCTGAGGCAGGAGGATTGCTGGCAAATTCAAAGCCAGCCTGGGCAGCATAGTGAACTCATGGCCAGCCTGAACTACACAGCAAGACCTCATCTCACAAAAACAGCAACAACAAACAGCTCAGTGGAGGAAATCCCAGCACCCCCATTTTACTGCAGACCACTTTCTGGAGCTATCCCAAAGCACCTCAGGACGGATCCCAGGAATCCTTCCTTGATGGCCGTCCCACGTGACAGGAGAGTGCTTCATGTCAGGAAACTCTTCTTTGAAGCTTTTGATTGTACCACGACCCGACACCCCAAGATCCAGGGCCATACTAGATCCAGTCCTGTCTATGTTAGCTGGGTCCTGGTGAGCGAGCATTTTCCCTACCAGAAGGGGTCATGTCTCCCTCTCAGGTGACACATCCTCTATCTTCTCCTTGGGCCAAAAGCAGAAGGAGGATGGAGCACATAGTGAGAGGAAAAGAGGGCTCAAGGCTCTCGGGTTCACCCAGGTGTTCGCTCTGGGACCTCGGACTCCACTCCTGTTCCGAGAGGGCCCATTATGCCCAAATTCGGCTGGCTCCCTGTGCTCTGCTGCCTTCAGTGAGGCTGTGGCTCTTGCCCTGCTGATACAGGAGGCGAGGGGCTCTCTCACGTGCATCCTGAGGGGACAGTTGGCTGCCTGACAACCACACCCTCCCTCCCAGGCTTGCAAAGCCGTTAAAATCCTGCCACCCATGCACATGATAGTCCACAGCTCCCACAGCCACTCCAGTGCTTCTTTGCCACTTGTCCCTCATCCCTGTCAACCACAAGTGAGTTCTTTGTGGTTGTGGTGATGCTGCAGCACGCAGGCCAAGGTTGCTCAGCCCCTGTTCACCTCAACAATGGGGTCTTCAAGGACTTCCGGCTAGAAAGTGATGCTACTTAAGGTCTGCTTTCCACTCAGACTCCTGGGGGCGTTTTCTTAGTTTAGCTTCCTCTAAGAGCAGAGCCTCTGATGAGGCCCTGCGTGCAGTAGGTCATTGTGGATGGGCTCCTCAGGAGCAGGGCTGAAGGCGCAGGAGGCTGAGTCAGGAAAAGACAGCCAATGTGAGGGCCCATGACCAAGGTTTCGCTGGGAACAGTGGGGCTCAGCTCGTCCAGGCCTTCTGGGAAGGTTTTGACTGTCTCTCAGAAGGAGCTGCCTGGAGGATAGGAGGTTGGGTGGCAGCTGTCTACTGGTTCCTGTTCCCATGGCTTGGGGCCTCTCCACCAAAACATTAAGCCTGAACTTCTGGGCTGTGTCGGCCAGAGGTCATCTGTGACACTGGGGATGCTTAGGGGGGGCAGGCAGGCGCAAGGTACACACTTCTTGACACAAAATGAGCTGAGCTCGCACACCACCACCCATTGCAGCTGGAGCTGGAACCAGAAGCAGCCAAGGGGAGTGTGACAAGGATTCCAGAAGCTTCTGTCATAGAAGGCACTGCAGTATTTTTTTTTTTGCAAGATGACTAAAAGTTTAGGGAGGTGAAAGTAGAGAAATGAGGGGTTTAATACATGATGTAGAGCCAGAGGGCTGCTGAAGGGCTGAATGGGAAATGGGAAAGAGACGAGGGTAGCAGGGTTGACGCCCAGGTTTGTGACCCGAGCAACTAGAACAGAGTCATCCTTCACTTAGACAGGGAAGCTTGTGGGAAGGCTGCTTGTAGGAGAGGTGAAGAGCTCTGTTTTGGACCTGTTACACCTGAGACGCCTACTGACATCTGACCTTGGCCAGAAGTTCAAGGCCGAGCTCATGCATGGAGCTACATGTTCTTGTCTATGTTACTGAGAATTGAACCCAGGGCCTTTGCACTGTGCTACATCCCCACACCTTTGTTTTACTTTTAAAATTCTCAAATAGGTTCTTTATAAGTTGCTAAATTGCCCAGGCAGGGCTCAGACTCACAATTCTTAGCCTCAGGCTCCCTGGAGTGCTGGGGTGACAGATGTGAGCCCCTGCCTCACCCCCACCCCCAGCTTGGAGACATAAACTTAAACAAATGAGGCTGAAGCTCACCAGGGAGCAACCATGGCTGAACCCAGGGACATCTCAAAGCTTATAGACTGGGAAAAGGAGATGATGGACCATCTGCCCTCCCTCCCTCTTCTATGTGTAGAACCAGCCCCACCCCCAGCCAGCCAGCCAGCGGCTGACGGATCATTATTGGGCACATTGTATGGATTGAACACCATGCTGGGCTCTATGGACATTGTGAAAAAAAGCAAGAAAGTGCTGGCATCAAGGAGTCTACACATAGTAGGAAGACACAGATATAATAAGCATGCAAGGTGTGGTGGTACACAGCCATAATCCTTGCCCTCAGGAGGCTGAGGCAGGAGGATCACTATGAATTTCACACCAACCTGAGTGACATAGTGAGTTCAAGGCCAGTCTGAACCACATAGCAAGATCCTGTTTCAAAAAACAAAAAAACCCACAAACTCACACCAAGTAGGGGCCAGGGAGATGGCTCAGTGGAGTAAGCGCTTCCCTGGCAAGCGCAAGGGCCTGAGTTCAATCCCCGGTCCTGAAAAAAAAAAAAAAAAAAAAAAATCAAACCAAGTAATAACCAGCAAGCTAATAAGTAATGAAAATATCATATCCAGAATTCAAATCTAGACAAATGCATGTAATTTCATCACAAGGGAATTTAGGGGTTTACAAAATCATGGCTCTGGAATTGCCACCCTTGCCATCTCTGGAGCTAGCAGGATGTCTGAGCCTGACACCAGGAGTGAGCCACCAGGGAAGGTGGAAAGGCTGGCTTTGGGCCCTGCTAGGAGCTGCATATGGGGAGCAAGCACTGAGCTAATAACCTTGGGATGTCAGCCCCACAGCATGACTGTTTTTTGGTTGTTGTTGTTTTTTGGGTTTTTTTTTTTTTTTGTTGTTGTTGTTTTTGGTGGAACTGGGGATTGAACTCAGGCCCTTGCGCTTGTCAGGGAAGCGCTTATTCTACTGAGCCATCTCCCTGGCCCCTACAGCATGACTATCGATTGCTCTAGAAAATGAGCGTGGTGACAAGACTGGGGACAAAGCAGTCTGGGAGACAAAAAGTTAAGATGTCCTTGGAGGGGGGTGTTTGGGTGACATCTCCAATACCCCTTCTGCTGCTGACAACACAT